ATTAATAATAATAATCCCGCGCTGAGTAACTTCCGAAATTTTTTGATAAAAGCAATTTGAATGTTGCGGGAGATAAGCAACATATTATATATATATATATATATATATATATATATATATATATATATTAATATATTATGATTAGATGATGATGATGATGATGATGATGATGATATTATTATCGGCACATTGAACCTATTTTCCTAGCAGAAAACCTAGTAATTAATTCAATAATTGTCTGTGGAAAACGTTTACAAAAAGAGCAGCATTGTCAGATTCCTGAAGGTTAGCATCAGCCATATTTATGGAAGGCAAAATCGTGTTCTCTGAGAGGATTAAATGAGAGCAGTTTCTTTTTGAAGGTGTTAAAGTTAACAAACCCCTTCTTATCGCAGTTAACAACAGATTGAAGTTCATTTTTGAGGTTAGCTGCCAATTTGAGCTTGTCAAACCGATCACACTTACAATTATGACAGGAATAAATATTTCTAACAACAACATAGACACCGAGTCGACAAATGATGGCAGCTGTTTCTTATATAACTTACTCTCTCAACTTTTCTATACAATCCCCTTCGAAACTTCTTCTTTCTCTCCTTTCTTCTCTTTTACTACACTTCACCCCTTTTCTCTCTATCACTCTTTCAACTTCTCTTTCTCCTCTCCTTTTAATTATTTTCTTATCACAGTTTCTTTCTACGTTTCTTTTCCTCACCATACTTACACGTCTCACTTCTTTTCTCCTTCCTCTCTCTCTCTAAATATCTTTCACCGACGTTCTGAACTTCCTTTTCACCCCCTCCTCAATATCTTTCTTCTTTTTTCCCTCCTCTTTCAACCCCTCTCTCTCATTTACTACTTAACCTCTGATCAACTTCCTTCTCTTTTCTCCTCCTTCCAATTTCTCTCATCCAATTATATTTTGCCTCTCACTTTCTCTCTTATTCTATTCTACCTTCAACTTCTCCCTTTTTCTCAGCTTCTCTGTACTTGTCTCCTCCCCCTATCTCAGTTGTTCCTAAACATTTTTTCTCTGCGCCGCATTTTTGGAATTAAAATTTGCTCGCGACTCAGCAAATTTTATGTGATAAAAAGTATATCTAAAATTTAAAAAAATAACAGAGAGAGAGATAGAGAGAGAGAGAGTTAAAAGGAGATAAACGCGGATTCGAAGTAAGAACATTATCATTGATAACTCTCTCCTCCAATTTGCGGACCCTAGATACTATATTCTTAATATTTGATATAATGCAAAAATATCACAATGATAAAATCGGTCAATAATTATTTATAACTATTTATACTGGGACTCAAGCATGCAATTACAAGTAATCCAGAATAATATTTTTCATTTTTAAATCATATTTATTTTTCGAACTGTTTCAAAAAATTTGATTGACTTTCAATCATACCCGCCACACCTGCTATCCTCTTCCGCCTTACGTGATATCCTCTTCCCACCTACATGCTATTCCCTTCACTCTCACCTGCTATTCTTTCCGCCTCACCTGGTATCCTCTTCCGCCTCGCCTGCTATCCTTCCGCCTCACCTGCTATCCTCTTCCGCCCTCGCCTCCCTTTCCGCCTCACCTGCCATCCTCTTCCGCCTCACCTGCCATCCTTTCCGCCTCACCTGTTATCCTTTCCGTCCTCACCTGCTTTCCGCCCTCGCCTGCAATCCTCTTCCGCCTCGCCTGCTATCCTCTTCCGCCTTACGTGCTATCCTCTTCCCGCTTACATGCTATTCCCTTCACTCTCACCTGCTATCCTTTCCGCCTCACCTGCTATCCTCTTCCGCCTCGCCTGCTATCCTTTCCGCCTCACCTGCTATCCTCTTCCGCCTCGCCTGCTATCCTTTCCGCCTCACCTGCTATCCTCTTCCGCCTCGCCTGCTATCATTTCCGCCTCACCTGCTATCCTCTTCCGCCTCGCCTGCTATCCTCTTCCGCCATACCTATGAGGTGCTCTGTACCGTTTGGAAATCACTGAACTGAAACATTGCCAGTGATTTCCCGTGTCCTGTTCATCATATTCTAATATGACAAAAGCGTATGATTCTTGGGATAGCAACAGTTAACAAATAAGAAAATTCCTTTTTACTAAAAATGTTGACGAATAACAGCGCACACTTTTCAATAATAAAAATGCTGTCAATCCATTCTGAAAAAAGACATGAAAAAGAAATTTTCAATATCTGTCTATATTTCTGAGATGAGGGATGTTAATTATTTACACTATTTACGTTGTTCGTACTATTGTCCTCATTTTTATTGTCATATTCACTATGTTTCGGCAGTTGTACGTTCCGACCTTCTTCAGAATTTGTCTATATTTCTGAGATGAGGTATTGCAACTATGTATATTATTCGAATTGTTGTCTTCATTTTCTTTCCGATGTTTCGACCGTTGTACACTCCGCCCTCATTCAGATGAATGTAATTTCGAACTGAACCCTTTATTTCGTCCAGGGAGGTACATTGTTCTAGTTTCACGTGCCATATTTATTTTTGGCATATGATTTTTTTCGAACTGTTTCTAAATTTTTGATTGTCTTTCAGTCATTCCGCCTCACCTGCTATCCTCTTCCGCCTCACCTGCTATCCTCTTCCGCCTCACCTGCTATCCTCTTCCGCCAATTGGGAAGCTTCTCAATCTCAACATTTCTGAAGGGAATGTAATGTATTCGGCTGGAATTCGAACTCGGCTCTCCGAGCCTTAAGTCCGAGCCGATACCAACTAATCTACCGTGCTTCATCTCTCTGTCAATATGTATGTCTGGCTGGCTGCCTGTATGTATGTCTGGCTGTCTGACTGTATGTATGTCTGGCTGGCTGCCTGTATGTATGTTAACAACGACCCGGATAAAAATGTATTATCAATTAACTGAAGGCACTTGGGACAATTATAATTCTGAAAATTTTACACTCTCCACACCCCCACACACAATTAATATAATGAGGACCTTGTAGTCAACGCAATCGTCAAGCCATGATCATTGCCTTTAATCATCAGCATAAAACAGACTGTCGTCGCTTGGTGTTGACGTCAATGTCCATTTATATATATATATATATATATATATATATATATATATATATATATATATATATATATATGGTTTCGTTTAGTTTATTTTGTTTTTACGGCATATCAACCTCAATGGGTTATTTAATATCGACAACATTTTTAGGATAGATTCGTATGAATAGAATATGTATTCTTTGGTTTAGATTGGTTTGGTTTATTTTGTTTTACGACATATCAAACTCAATGGGTTATTTAATGCCGACAATATTTTAGGATAGATTCGTATGAATAGAATATGTATTCTTTGGTTTAAATTGGTTTGGTTTATTTTGTTTACGACATATCAACCACAATATATATATATATATATATATATATATATATATATATGACGCGTTTGTTTTCTGACCATGGGAGCCGAGTTTGACTTTCACCGTGGTCGATTTAACTCGAGAAGCTATTTCTTGGTAATACGAACGTGATACTACTCTGCGGCCATTTTGAAAAGTTCCTGAAAACCACATTACCTTGAAAGTGAAATTGGGTAGATGGAACCGCTAGGAAGTCGTCAATGGTTGCGCTAGCACGAAGTCACAGGTCATCGGGACCGAGGGTGTGAGCGTGTTGGCCTTGTTCAAAATCTGATTACTTCAGCTTATACGCTCTCTCTCAGTAACTTTGACTAAAGTATAAGCCCCAAGTGAAAAGTATCTATCAATGGCGGCGAGGATAGCGGATATGGTAAAGAAGGAAACATACAAACAAAATAGTTAATCCAAAAAGAAAGAAATTAATGAAAAAGAAAGATTCAGAATAAAGAAAGAAAGAAATAAAGAAAGGAAGGAAGAAAGAAAGAAAGAAAGAAAGAAAGAAAGAAAGAAGTAGCTTAATGTAAAGAAAGAAAGAATGGATGAATGAATGATTTAGTTAATTGGATTACGTTTATAAGATCCGAAAGTAAAATTTAATATTAAAGAAAAAATAATGAATTTAAGAAAATAAATAAATATAAAAGAAAGAAATATGCAATGATAACTGCAAAAATTGCAATATGAGCACGGGTAAAAAAGGTTGCTGAAAACATTAGGTTTATAATACCCAAAATTCATACCCATATCAAGGACACATGACACAGTGGTTAAAGGCGTTAGTTAGATCCAGTGACAGGACCCAAAGAGTATGAGTTCAATACCTGTTTAAGGCAGTGGAGAACTTTCAAAAAGAATTTAACAGGAGATAACTGATAACTTACATCCATTAAACATGGCACGTGGAACAGTCTACCCCAGTGAGCGAAATAAAGAGTTCAGTTCGACATTCCAACCACCTGAAGAAGGCTAGAGCCTACAACGACCGAAACGTTGTAATATATATGGCGACAAAGATGAGGACAATAGTCCGAATAATGAAAATAAAGAAAGTTTATAAAAGAAAAAAAAAAAAACTGATATTGTTAATTCCATTTTATTCCAGTCGAGTGGCTCAACATTTACTTAGCGACAATTCAGCTGCCACTATCGGATTCGTTTGGAATAAGATCTTATTAATTACTGCTCTACGGCATGCGTCTTTTATGTGACCTCACTCAGATAAAAGAATTGGGGTAGGAAGAATGGGTTGTGAACACCGAGCCAAGGAATGTAACGCTAAACTACATCAAGCACAAAACATGTAATTTTTGTTTGGTATGTGTCAATTTGAAATACCATTTCTTTTGTTCAATGAAGACACCAGCACCTCGTCGTTCTTAAAAAAAAAAAAAGAATATGACCTAAAATCTCCACAAATGTGTTTTGGGGTAGGGGAGGGGGGGTTGATGTTTTTTTTTTTTTTTTTTTTTTGGCATTTCGGGCCCTGGTGGCGGTGAAAAAAAGCAACGGATAAAATGAGAAAGAAAAAAAAACCCTCTTCCCAAAGGGTGTTTGATTGTGACAATAAAAAGTTTCTTATAATGTAATTTATGCTGTAAGACCCAACAACAAACAGGCGCACCTATTAACAGATGTACGTTGGCTGAAATAGACCAAGTGTTAGAATGCACGTGATATACAATATTCGTTGCTTTAGTGGGTAGGGCTGTAAAAACTTGCAATATTGCTGCGACCTTTGAAAGTTATTTATTATGCATAGACCTATTAGGACAAAAGGACATAAATAAATCTCGGATAATATCAAAATGACTAATTCATTCCATGTGACTTCGATTATTTCAATTACAGCCTCAATACGACCTCGAAACGCTGCACAATTTTTATCCCATGATGTTCTTAGTCATCTTGGCTCACATCTTTTTTGATGTCAGTTTTGATTATACTGACTTGAGTCTGATACGTCATGTTGGCCGACTACAAAATGTTCATTACGGTTTGGTCTCAAAATTTTGAGTTCGGGTCGAAGGAGTGCTGTTGGCCAAAAATCAACGAAGTTATATTGCAGACATTTTTTTACACATTCAAGGCTGTTTGGTTTGTTAGTTCAGAAGTTTTACAAAACATGATACCTCTGGACATATACCCTTGTGCAAATTAATTGAAACAACCATTTTTCTTTTGACCATACGCTCAGTTTTAGACCCACTAGAGTAACAGGGTGGAATCTGTTTCTGTTTTTTCCTCGGTCATTTGCAGTGGTGTGCAGTATTATGAATCTGTTTTCGGGGTGTATGATGACATTTGTTTGGCCTTGAAAAATATTGCGCCATCCGTGATTGTATCAAATTTTTATCACACCCAGACACTATTGTGTCAACTGTCAATTACTTGTCCTACGGCCATTGTCTGCAATGGACTTTACTCCAAAGTAACGTAAGAAAATTGTAAAACTGCACGAATACAATGATAAGCCTTACCAGTGAGCAAATCAAAGTACTATCGACTGGCTCGGAATCTCTCCTGATTTAAATCCAATCGAGAATTTGTGGTCAATGATCAACGAATGACTTCGTGGAATGGAAAAAATAATAATATGTTCACTGGGTCATCTTTCATTGGAAAAATATGAAAGGAAAAGTAAATAATAACGGAGTTATTCGTTTTAATTCAATTAATTTGCACAAAGTGTGTATATTCATGGCATCATGAAATAAGTACAAAATGAATCCGAAGATCTTCCATATATCGTCACTATTTACAATGTCAAAGAACTTGGTAAGATCTACGAAGAACTGAAACAGGATTCATTGTTATTCATACGACTTCTCTTAGATTTGTTGCATTCATAAAATAATATCCATTGCTCTAATATTAAACCGGAAGACATATTTGGGACTCTGGAATTATTGTATTCACAAAGTAAGCATTCAGTTAAGACAGCAAAATCCTCACTAAGTTTATTTTTTTTTAATCTCTGGCCAAAGTAAAACTGTACCATGATAAATAGTCACACAGTTTATAAGTTCACCTTTGCACAATTTTATTATAATAGCATCTCTGCAGTACTTTTAATGTTTCCCAGTGTTCCAGGTTTTCCTAACAGGATATCAACCATTTCCAAAAGCCAGAATAGCATAGAACTTCTACAAAGTCAATCTGCAAGGAAAGACTTTGTGGAATGGAAATCCCAAGAACTAACAGGTGAACTGGGTCATGTTTCATTGGAAACAATACGAAAAGAAAGTAAATAATAACGGAATTATTCATTTTGTTTCAATTAATTTGCATAATGGTGTAGACCATCTACCAAGTTAGCCTATAGAAGAAATAGAGATATCTCTTTCCCATCTGAGGCCATGACGCCCAAGACCATAATCTGGGCTAATTCTCTAATCTTGAGGGTGTCCTTAAAGCAGTTAACTCGGCGATGAATAGGTCGTTTTAGCAGCTCAAAAAAGTAGATATATACGCAAGAGAATATTTAAAATGAACTCCTGAGATATGTGAATATTTTCTAGTAATTTTCCAGGCTCCTGATGTTTATGGACTTTGTGTGGAGAGGTGTTTTGACATCCAGGTGTATATGTTATGGCACGGAATGACATACACGGCCGTTCTGCTCTATCTTGGGATTCAGTTATGCTGTTGGATAACATTAGGGTTTTGGTCTTGAGAGCTTTACTCGCTTCCTCATCTTGTTGATACCGCCGTTGACCAGCTTCCTTCAGGTGCTGTTGTCTATGCCTGGGGGTCTATTTCACAATACATCCTGTGCAAAAGGAGACGCCAACAATATTGGTCTCTTTTTTGTGCCGATTAGGACATGGAGCTCAATTATTCCGCTCCAATTGATTTTTGATTTCCCGTATTGTAGTAAGAGGATTTTGCTTGGGTGCTTCATAATTGCCGTCTTATGCCAAACTAGGTCAATTTTAATAAGAAAAATGGATTCTGCTATAGAGAGACGATAGCTCGCCAGTTCGTCAAGAAAGTCATTATCCGTGTAGTAAATTTGATGTTTTTAGATAAACAGATGCTAAAGGAGTGTTGGAAATTTCTCGGCTCGAGCTATTGTATTTTGAAAATCTAATAGATAGATAGATAGATATTTTAGATAGATGTTTATAGATGCGTAGATATATTTCCATAAAGCTAAATGAGAGAAAAGACAGAGGCAGAAGGAACCAAAATGTATTGTATTTTGAATAGATAGATATATATATAGATAGATAGATAGATATATATTGATGCAGATAGATAGAATATAGATATTTTGATTGAGAGAGATGGAAGAACGAAAGGAAATCAGCATATTGAATGTTTAAATCCAATCTAAGCTTTTGGCTTACTAGCACTAAAGAAAATGTTCACGGAATAATAATGATAGTCTGTTTTGATAAAAATGCTGACTAAGTGAATGAAGAAAGGAACTTATTTAAAATAAATAGACAAAGTTTTATGAAAAACATGCATTGAAAAATTGCTGCCGAATTATCATCTTTAATAAATTTATATATATAAAATATATATACACAGGGTCAAAATATTGTATTATATATTTTTCTTGAGATAGATAAAACAGATTCTTCAGTTGTAATTGTTGAATTAGATAAAAAAAAAATAGATAGATATGACAATGATAGAAGATGAATTCATAGATAGATAGATAGATATGACAATGATTTTAGATAGATAGATAGATAGATTTGATAGATAGATAGATATGACAATTTTTACATACAAAAAAATCCTTTTTATTGCAAATAGATAGATAGATAGATTTTTTAGAAAGTGAGGAATCAACCTAGCACTAAAGAAATGTTCACCTGATAAATGCTGGTGAATGAAGAGTTTTTAAAAAAAAACATCATCATTAAAAATTTTGTATATAAAATACCAAAAAGTTGTTTTCTTTTTTCTTCTTCTTCAGTTGTATTGTTGAATTACAAAAAAAAAATGTAAGTGAATTCACAATGATTTTAGATGAGGTTTTGAACAAAAAAATACGAATTTTTTTATTTAAAATGCATATACCAATAAGAGTTTTTTGTATTTTTTTCAAAAGAAGGATGTTTTGGGAATAAACTGATAAACACACGAAAAAGGAAAAGAATATATACATATGCACTACATAGACACACACGCACACATATATACACACACACATAACTCTGACTTTTTCTTTTTCTATTTTTTCTCTCTTCCTCTTCCTCTAATCATGTAATGTCTAGATTCTCACTATAACCTTGGAAATCAATGTAGATGTATATCTGGACATTTATCCTCTGATTCTTTTTTTCTTTTTTCTTTTCTTTTTCTTTCTCAATTTCTATCGTCGTCTTCTTAGTTTACTCTTTAAATGTTTACACACAGATACATATATATATATATATATATATATATATATATATATATATATATATATATATATATATATTCTAGCACATAAATGTTTAAATTTTAAGCTCTTATTTCATTTCCTAACATCTCTGAATTGATAAGGTCCACAAGAAAATCTTTGTGGATCGAAATAGCTATTTTCTGAATGAGGTTGTTTTGGATTTTATATATATATATATATATATATATATATATAGAGAGAGAGAGAGAGAGAGAGAAGAGAGAGAGAAAGAGATAAATACATAGATATATAGGTAGATATGTAAAGACTGAGCTAGCGAGCTAAATAACTAGATAGATAACGTATATATCTATAATATATATATAGATAGATATAGATATATTTCTATATAGATAGATATAGATATGTAAAGACTGAGCTAGTTATATATATATATATATATATATATATATATATATATATATATATATATATATATATATATATAGAGAGAGAGAAAATAAATCGATAGTTATATAGATATACAGATAGATATGAAGAGACTAGATAGACAGATAATGTGTACATATATGGAAATATATATATATATATATATATATATATATATATAGAGAGAGAGAGAGAGAGAGAGAGAGAGAGATAGATAGATAGATAGATAGATAGATAGATAGATATGTAAAAAGACTGGAGCTAGGTTGTTTGATTTTGTTTGGATATATATATATATATATATATATATATATATATATATATATATATATATACAGAAGAACTTAATAATCTATACGGTTATAATTTATTCCATGAACTTTTACATTCATCTCTCCAGAGCAGCGTTTTGATAATAAATGGAGTTACTTTATCCATTTATTTAATGCTTCTCTGAAGAGATGAATGTAAAAGTTTATGAAATAAATTATAACTAAGATAGATTTTTAAGGATTCTGTACTCACTATATATATATATGTATGTATGTATGTATGTATGTATGTATGTATAACATAATAGTATACAATAGTCCCGGTAATGTAAATAATGTACATAATACCTCATTTCAGAAATATAGACAGATACTGAACAGCCGAAACGTTGTAATAAATATGGGAGACAAAGATGAGAACAATAGTCCGAATAATGTAAATAATATACATAATACCTCATCTCAGAAATATAGACAGATACTGAAGGGCCGAAAATTTGTTTATAATTTTATATGTCAACAGTATTGAGAAAATAGTATAACAAATTGGACAAAATATTTTGTGACGCGTTTTATCCGTTTCGATTACATCGGGCTGGACTTGAGGTTGCCATGACATTCGTAGGAAACGGGAGACGCTAGTAGTTTCAAAATTTTTGAAAGAATATTTTTTCAGTCTAGTGAAATTCATCAATATTCTTTTTCTTTTTCTCCATCACTTTTGTCCCCGACTATCCCACATTGTAACAAGAGAAAATCGGCCACGACTAATAATATATTGTAAGCACCTGGATACAAATTTACAGTGACTGAACTAGTAATCAAAGCATTTTCCTGATATTTTCATCTTAGTTAATTATTTTCTCTTTTAATCAAAATAGATTTATATCAAAATTGTGGTCAGTTTCGTTACGATGACCAACCAATGCGTTTTGTGCATTGTTTTTTTTTAATATATCTTTTGTGTTCATATAGTCTTTTGCTTAATCTTCTTGAGATTTCTCCAATATATTCTATCTGGTAATTTCTGAAGTTGATAAAGTAAATTCTTCCTTCAAGTTTTTGATTATTTTTTTGTTTTTTATTGCTTAAATCTGAGATTGTTTTAGTTGTAGTTTATGTTGAGTTTTGATAAATTCTTTTCGGTTGTAGTTGTGATAATGTTAGTTGCTAGAATAAATATATTTTTTAGTTCATTCGGTTTGTCAGGAAGAAGAACTTTTCTATTTTGGAATAATTTTTAGTCATTTGTTTAGCATTAAATATGAAATAAAGTATTACGGGTTTTGGAAGTATTTTTAATATATTTCTCCTTTTCGTGTAAATATCGAGGGCTGCAAATTCTGAGTGCTCTTAAATAGAATCCAATGATCATTCAGTATTTTATTTAGTTGTTATGATGCTAGTAGAATTTTATCAGGTCATTTTATTGGTTGACTAGCAGTAGAGCCCAGCGTTGCCCGGGGATGTAACAGTAAGAGATAGATCAAGTATCGACCATCATAAAAACTGAAAAATAAAATTGACAAAGATTATTGTTTAAGGTTGACGGACATGCATGTCTTATTTTTTTTATTTTTTGTTTTTTTTACGAATTGGTCAAACCCAAACTCAAACAAAAACATTGTTTTCAATCGTCATGAGTCTATCGATTGAATAGAATTTTATTATAAACAATTGTCTTGTAAAGGGAATTTTAAAAACATTCTGAATGTAAAAATAAAGAAAAAATTGTGCAAGACAATAAGAAACACTATCTGCCAAAAAAAGTGAAGTTTTGTTGAAATCGGTTGAAATATGTAGGAAATCCGATCCCATATATAAACGAACGAACACACACACACAAACAACCTGGGTTTTATAAGTATAACTCGACATGTGTTTTTCCAATTTTTGGCGCTGTTAGAACCACCGCAAGGTAATTTTACGTAGTCCTGTGACGTTTTGTTGAAATCGGTTGAAAAATGTAGGAAATCCGATCCAATATATAAACGTACAGACGCACACACAAACACACACAATCTACATTTTATAATAAGTAAGATTTTCGGTGGACGCTAAATTCTAGGTTGTTGTCAACTCGGTGTAACATGATGTCTAAGAAATGTAAAATATTGTTTTGTTTTATTTTGTATGTAAACTCTATTGTGTGTTCGACTTTGGAGTGTTTACCTACAAGATTCTGTAAGTTAACATCACAGGGATATATTAATAGAGCCTCATCAATATACCGGATATAAGTTGATTGTTTTGGTAAAATATTTTAGAAAAAAGATACATGTCATCCCTCCAATGAGAGGTGATCCCATTGTTAATCCAAATTTTTCTTTGTAAAAATTATTATTGGAAGTGAAATAAAATTGGTGATTTTTATTATTTTAGCTATTGGTAGGGAGAGGTTTATCTTTGATTTTGGTAGAAGCTTTCTTAAGTGATTTAAACATTATTCAACCGAGATGTTTGTGTAAAGTGATTTTATATTTAGGCTGGCCATGAGTTTGTCAGTCATATTTGTTTTTCTTAGTTTTTCAACAAGGTTGCCTGAATCTTTTTATATGTGATAGACATATTGTTCCAAAGAGAGGGGCTCAAATATTTGCTATGGTTATAGCTATTTTGTGGGGCGCTATATATATATATATATATATATATATATATATATATTTGATTGGATTGATGAGTTTGTGATCCTGGGTTTCACGCTTTTGCGATCGTCAGACAAACCCAGGCCACAAACTCACATCAATCCAACCAAATATGATAGCTCTATCTCTGATATTGAGCGCTTTCTAATAAGTACCGCGCATATAATATATAAATAATTATATATATAGTGTACATAAGATTCAACACTGTATGACTGTCAACTTCAACATTTGGTCTAAAAAATGACATTGAAGCGTTAAATCCACAGTGTATATTCCTATATTCGCACTTTATATATATATATATATATATATATATATATATATATATATATGTATATATATGTGTGTGTGTGTGTGTGTGTGTGTGTGTGTGTGTTTTTTTTCATGGTAATATGATATTCTAAAATATTTGACGTGTGGGCATATAAATGAAGTGATTTGGCGGTTCTTGTCCATCTTTAGACAATTCGGGTTAATTGGACTCTGAAGGCAAAATATCTAAGAGAATCGTCCCACTCATGAGGAAAAACTCTAATATCATGTTCATTGGCTTTGTGGTAAACATTTACATCACTCCGATATTTCTAAAAAGTGTCACTCGTTCTTTCCAATCCTTGACCATTGTAACCACGACCTGTATCTTAAATTTTTTATTTTTTTATTTTTATTTTTTGGTGTTTGATATTACAATCATAGCATGGGTAATAAGGCCAAAGCGACAGGAATAGGTGAACTATAGTGGAAGCTCCTAGTTAGGCACGGGTCATTCTTGTACAAACTGTGATCTATTGTGCTACCTGTGTTGGTGAAAAAGCAGACCAATTTTTAGTTGTTTCTCAGCTTTCCTCAGCTGAGAAGTTAGACAAAAAGATCCATACAAATACTTGCTTAAGCCATATTTATCAGACTAATACAACAATCTTGTTATCTGTGCGAACGAAACGTGTAAAAGAATTTTGATCTGGGTACCTGGAAGGTAAGAACACTTTAAAACAAAATTTGTATCCAGAACGTTGGTCAGCTTTCATTTCTAATGAACACCGCAGATGGGAAATCGATTTTTCTGAGATCAGTGTAACTTCTTTTCCTTGCAAGTCTTCGAAGGAGATACAATATTTTGAACTGGAAAAAAAAAACTAAGAATACTGTCAATCTGGCGTTTCCTTCACCACAAATCCCGACATTGGTAAAAACTTTACCTTCTTCCTTAAAATATTTCTTTCTTTAGATCTTGGAGACAATACATCTGTCTTGTTATTCGGACACTTTGCAGACTTCTGAGCTGGAGACTGAATCTTTCTGTAATCGACTCTGCTTTTTAAAAATAAATCATTCAAGACAAATTATCATCATAGATGGTGACATTTTTTATATGCACAAGAAACCATCTATGCCTTGCCCTGCTCGAATCTAAGGGCGTCATGAACTCTAGTGGATTAAGATTACACACATTTTAAACTTAATTCAATATTCTTCCTCAGATTTATGTGCCGTAGCGCTTAGGCAAATAAAATCGCCTTTTGAAACAAATGCTGTTTACAGATTAACTTACTATATTGGAGATAGTATTCATGAAAATAAAATTAAAACTCTTTGAATATTGTGGTAGCATACCTTCGGACGATAATGGGCATGTCCCCATTCATATAAATACAGTAGTGAATACTGTATGTTGGTCTGCAGTTGGAGATTCGTCTCCAGCTGTGCTGGTCAAACTCTCTGCCTCTGGGCAGAGGGATCCCAGCGCGAAGCTATGTCGAAGGGCAGAGTCTTCGTCTCAGGAAACACGGGGTCGACGGAGAATTTCTGGACGAGCCTACGGCCTCGGATACTCCACATTAAATTCGTCTTTGTGCCACATCTGACCACGTCGGGCGGTTGACAGATATACTAGAGTTGGAGATTCGTCTCCAGCTGTGTTGGTCAAACTCTTTGCCTCCGAGCATAGATGATCCCCACACGAGGCTATGTCGAAAGACAAAGTCTCGTCTCGAGAAACAGCATCCCGGACCCATTTTATATGGGGTCTACGTGGAATTTTTGGCCGAGCCAACGGGCTCGGTAACCCCATATTAAATTCGGACTCGGGCCACATCTGACCGCGTAGGGCGGTTCGTAGGTATCCAGCAGTTGGAGATTCATTATTGAATTCACTTGACTCACTTCTGGCAGTTGACTACTACTTCTACGCGCCGCTGGCGAATCTTATACGTGTTGTTCTTGTCCTAAGTTTTATCGTTCATTATCAACTTTCGTTTGATTGTTGTTTTTTTTTCAGCAACCTTCCCTAGGTTACAAGAATTATTCAGCTACAAATATCTCACGTGTCAGAATTTGGAGCAATGTATAACCCGTGTCTCTTCAGGCTCTCCACAAATTTCTGTCCTTCGTAGCCCTTAATAATTTTTTCTCTTTTTGTTATTCCTCCCAAAATATCTTCGGCCATTTATTCACTCAAGCTCACTAAGTATGTTATACGCGATTTTCATCTGACCCTCTTCAATGTTCCCTATGAATATCAGATTTTCCAAGCACTCTTTTCTTACCCTGTACCCTATAAATTTCAACTGTTTCTTCCTAATATAAAGTTTTCATTAGTTTCTATTTGCTCTAAAACTTCGCCATTGCTTACATGTTCGATCCATGATATCCTCAGCATCATTCTGTAGAATCATATTTCTCCTGCTTCATGTCTCTTCTTCAATTTGAGATAGTCCACTGACGGGCAGATATCAAGTAACAGTCCAGTACTCTTTTCATTGAACTTTTCTGTTTCCTAATACTTTTCTTAGCTTTGAAAAAGCATTTTTCTTTATTCCAATATACCTTCGGATTTCAGTGTCGCACTTTCCGTCCTCTGTTAAAACACTTCCTAGACATTTAAATTTTTT